TTAGAATGAACTTATATATTAGGGGAAATTAGTATAATAAATGAGCAATGCTGATGGAGACAGTTTTATTTGTTGGTTGGCATCATTAAATAAGGAATGAACTTTTTAGTGATTTAAATAAAGTCCCTAATCATAATTAAAGTGAAACACCACCTTTGACAAAAATGAATGTAGAAGTTATTAAATGAGTTTGTATAAATAAACGTCAAGTAAGTTAGCATGTTTTATTAGAGGAAAATACATTTATAGCCAATAAAATACACTTCTTATTTTAGGAGTTCCTTCCGTCCTTCCTAGGTAGACATATATAATTGTCAGTGTGTATATATAGCAAAGATCAAAAGTAATTGCCTACTTAGTAATAATTCTAGATTGTAGTTCAGTTCTGTGTTCAACTGCCTTACATGTCCTTAGGTAAACCTACATGGAATTTTTGGGGGAAATGCTTTTCTTTAACCAGAACAGTATTGCCAGAGGATATCCATTTCTCTGAAAAGTTTTATTTCATCTGCTAGATGTTAGTCCGTGTTAATATACAATAACCATCTATTAAACCTTCATTTTTACTACAGCATAACTAAGAAAACAAATACAATTTGGAAATAAGGTACATTAAGCTTCGAGATATTTTTTCCATGGCTTCTTTATTGCTGAAACAAAGAAAGTGCTAAATGTAAAGACAGGATAAAAATTTTGTTCACTACATAGTACAGAAACAAGTAAAGACTGAATATATTTCATATCATGTAGGTAAAGACCGGAAGTAAACATAGAAAAACAAGGTGTTAAAAAAAGGTTTTATGAAATACAAGTATCACAGAAAGTAGTATTTTCCTAGTAAAAATTAATTGTACAGAAAGAATTAGGATAGATTAGGAAACAATGATATGCAATTTACTGGAAAAAAAATTAAGAGATGCTTATGTTCATTTAGTCATCCTATATTCTTCTGGTTGCCAATGTTATGTTAATAAAATAACTGCCAACTAAGGGACAATACTGTGCTGGTCAAAGAAGGAAGCCTGAGTCACATAAATCACAGTATTAGCCAGGACCATCTGTGTAAGTGTCAAGCTTCTCGTCCAGGGATTTCCACCGTGATGGTAACTTGCTGCACCATTGTCATGTGTCTGTCCTTAGCAGCTTTCTCTTTCATCTACGACACATCTAATGGAAGTGGAATTCGTACTTTACTGTCGTGTGTCCTTAGCAGCTTTCTCTTTCATCTACGACACATCTAATGGAAGTGGAATTCGTACTTTATCATATAACAAGAGGCGGTGTGGTAGGGTGGAAAGAGGAATAACAAGTGTCCACATTTTACAGACCTGGCTTTAAACTGTGGATGTGGAACTTTTTTGCTTTGTCGACCTTTGACCAATTACTTCATACCTGTGAACCTCAATTTTCTCAGAAAACAGAAATCCCATTACCAATCATAACAGGTACTGGGAAAATTCAATTTCATAACCTAAGTGCAGGAGACTGAGGACCAGAGGGTAAAAACCGTGTGGAGGAGAGAGCAAAATGGATGCATTTTTCCAGAAAATCTACTTCCCAACACCACCCGTCCCCAGACAACCATCATGAATAAAGAATGACACTATCTCATGCTTGTCACAGTCAACATCAGGACACTATTATTTACAAGAAGACCCTAAAGAAACCATGTAAGAGTAAAAACTCGAGCCTGAGGACAACATAAAGATGAAAGGAAATTATTTCATGTGTGTGTTCGTTTCTTATGCATTAGTTCATTTATTCAACAATCATTTACTAACACCTTCTATATACTTGAGTTATCGAAGCACTCAAAACTCATGAGCTCTCTTCACGAGCTAATTAGTGGAGGAGAAAAAAGAGACACATAAGCAAACACAAATTATCAATCCATTGTGTTCAGTCTAGTGATAGGGAAAATAGAGAGGAAGGCCCCATTTTGATAGGATGGTCAGGAAGACCTCTTTAAGGCAATGACATTTAAACCAACAGAGGAACAGGAACTCAGCCACATAGAGGGGCATAAAGGGCATTCCAGGTGGAGAAACAGAAAGTACCTTTGGCAGAAGGGAGTGTGATTGACAGAGAGGGTTAAAAGACAGCCAGTGTGGGGGGAAGAGGAGTTTGGGATGAGGCTGAGACGGGGAGGGTATCAAAGCACACNTCTGTGTAAGTGTCAAGCTTCTCGTCCAGGGATTTCCACCGTGATGGTAACTTGCTGCACCATTGTCATGTGTCTGTCCTTAGCAGCTTTCTCTTTCATCTACGACACATCTAATGGAAGTGGAATTCGTACTTTATCATATAACAAGAGGCGGTGTGGTAGGGTGGAAAGAGGAATAACAAGTGTCCACATTTTACAGACCTGGCTTTAAACTGTGGATGTGGAACTTTTTTGCTTTGTCGACCTTTGACCAATTACTTCATACCTGTGAACCTCAATTTTCTCAGAAAACAGAAATCCCATTACCAATCATAACAGGTACTGGGAAAATTCAATTTCATAACCTAAGTGCAGGAGACTGAGGACCAGAGGGTAAAAACCGTGTGGAGGAGAGAGCAAAATGGATGCATTTTTCCAGAAAATCTACTTCCCAACACCACCCGTCCCCAGACAACCATCATGAATAAAGAATGACACTATCTCATGCTTGTCACAGTCAACATCAGGACACTATTATTTACAAGAAGACCCTAAAGAAACCATGTAAGAGTAAAAACTCGAGCCTGAGGACAACATAAAGATGAAAGGAAATTATTTCATGTGTGTGTTCGTTTCTTATGCATTAGTTCATTTATTCAACAATCATTTACTAACACCTTCTATATACTTGAGTTATCGAAGCACTCAAAACTCATGAGCTCTCTTCACGAGCTAATTAGTGGAGGAGAAAAAAGAGACACATAAGCAAACACAAATTATCAATCCATTGTGTTCAGTCTAGTGATAGGGAAAATAGAGAGGAAGGCCCCATTTTGATAGGATGGTCAGGAAGACCTCTTTAAGGCAATGACATTTAAACCAACAGAGGAACAGGAACTCAGCCACATAGAGGGGCATAAAGGGCATTCCAAGTGGAGAAACAGAAAGTACCTTTGGCAGAAGGGAGTGTGATTGACAGAGAGGGTTAAAAGACAGCCAGTGTGGGGGGAAGAGGAGTTTGGGATGAGGCTGAGACGGGGAGGGTATCAAAGCACACAGAGCTTCATGGGCCTTGTAACGAGACACATTCAAAACCCTACGGATGGGTGATAAGCACAAGAGGCGAAATGATCAGATTTTCACTGTGATTCCTTTGCAAAGAGAAGAATGGATTGGAAGGGCCCAGGATGGACAGGAGCCCCATTAGGAAGCCCGTGTAGTGGTTCAGGCAAGAAGTGACAGCAGCAGGGGGGTGGCTGATGTGAGAAAGAAGATGGTCTC